GAAAAAAAAAACGTGGACGAACCTAGGCTATATATATTTTCGATTTAGATTTAGTTAATTTTTTAAAATATTAAAAATTTGGGTTGGTTCGGGAGTCCATACTCTACTAACCCCATATTGTGGTTACAACTTAACTCGACGGTATTTTAATTTTAAGATTATTATAAAATTAAGAATGATTGATATTTTTAGTCAAGTTAATAATGTGGTGGTTTGTGAATATTTGATATACGATTTAGAATTCAGTTATTAATGTAACATGTATTATAAATAAATATAGGTTTCTTTTTTTTTTAATAATTAAAAAAATAACCTCGTAACTAAATCCAACATAACTTTGAAAATAGAGCATTCGGTTGAGTTAAGTTGTGAATTATTCAGGTTACTCGAGTTACTGATCCAACTAACTCAAAATTTTGAGTTGATTCAAAATATTTTACAAACCCAACCCATACATACCGGTAGTATGACTAAGTATAATTTGTGAAACTTGAAACTAAATTAATCTAACATCACAAATTTGAATAAAAATACATTAATATATGTCAAATTTGTACAAATACATCAATTTAATTTTTTTTTTAAATTTGAGTTTATAAAAAACATCAGCCAAATTTTGAAAATTAAAAAACTTTATTTTTATAATTTAACTAATAATTCGAAGGAAACCGTAATAAGAAAGAATCAAATAAATAAATAATAAAGTTGTTATTAAATTTATTCTTAAATTAATTTTAATGGTTAATTTGTTATCTTTTTGCCAAAAAGTCTAATATTTTAAAATTAAAATAAATTTACTCTAATTTTAATAGATCATTTAATATAAAACGTATTTGACTTGCAAATGAATTTATTTTGCATTCAATTAAAACCTATTAATTATTTATTACTTTCTTTCATAAGTAAAAACAATAATAATTAAGATTTTGTCGTTTATTCGACCTTGTTTTTCTTTTATTATTATTATTATTATTTCAAATATATTCTACAAATTGAAATTTTTCACATTAATTTTTATTTTATTTCATGAATTTTTGTAATTTTACATTTAAAATTAAAAAAAAAACACTGATTTACTATATAAAAAATTGAAAATTTATGATTTATATTAAGTGGGGTTTGTTGGGCTGTGTGATTGTTCAAAGCTCATGGGCTGTTCAAAGCCCAATTGATCTATTTTTTTTATTTATTTATCAAATAAAAACAAATAATAATAATAATTAAATACTGGTCAAAGTTAGGTACCCATGTGTTTCTTATATTTGAGTGATTTATTCCATTATTAATCCACGTCATTACTATATTAATTTACTATTAAATTGGAACTTATATATTTTTTTCTACTAATAATAAATAGTTTTTTACCACGTTTTATATAACCTCGATTCATCGTGCTAGTTGGCTAGTCGGTGTAATAAATATTTTTCTTTAATGGCCTTAAAAAATTATTCTAAAAAAATAGTCAGAAATCTATAATAACACGAAATATACATTTTTAGTGACGTTTATCGTTAATATAAGAATTACTTGCAATTATCGTTAATATACATTTAACAACAACACATACACGTCGTGAAATATACACGTTGTTTTAAAGAACTAAAGGATAGACTTTAACGATAACTTTGATTTCATCTGTATTGTTTATGTGTTTAGACACGTAGATTTTGAATGTTGATTGTCGAATACTTTTCAAAAAATTCGATTTTTTCCCGAGTAATATAATTTTATAAATTAAACCAAGTCATTTTAGGTTTGAATAGTATGATTCATTCAAACTATTGCCTAATTTTAAAATAGATGTTGACGTAAAGATTCGATTTTGATTATACAAAAGAACTCGTAATGTCGGAATAGTCACGAGTTGAAAAATCAAAATAAAATTTCCATGATTTAATTTTTTTTTTTATAGAAAAATTGACTTGGAAAATACATGCAAAACTCCGAGAAAAATTCGGTATGACCAAAAAACGTCAAGTCTATATTGGATTATTTTTAATTTATTTGAATTTGTAAATTAAAAAGTATATATTTTTCATCGATTCAAATCTTTGAAATATAATTTTTTTTTTTAGAATATAAAATACAAACTCGTAAGTCACGCTTATTGTCTAAATATTAGAACAGTTACGATCGATAAATATGCAACTCGAACCATATATGATTTATTTGAATATAATCTCAGAACAATTTTATTTATTTATTTGAGAATTAATTTTGGGTTTTAGATGTGAAGTGACACAATCGCACTTTCGAAGGCAGCGGACTAGCGATTGTGCAGCACTTACTTTCCAACAGCAAGTGAGCTAAGCCAATTTGTTCTTGCGTCACCTATGGGAAAGCGACGTATGATCGAGCCTCTAGCCTCGGTTTTAAAAGAAGGTTTTAGAAAACGAGGAGAGAGAGAGATTTTGGAAAGAGACGTTATATAAGCAAGCAAGAGAAAGATAACAACGGCTTAGCATATATAACCTTGGGTAGGGAGAAGTTGACAACTAGTCATACGCCTATAGTACATTATGAAGTATTTCATGTCTGACAGACCTAAACATGATATTTTTGAGGTGTCATACGCCCTAGAACTACAAAAGGAAAAACACTAGAATGGAAAGACATGACAAGGGTTTGGCTTGTCATGGGCATGTGGCCATGGACAACACGTCCTGGACGAGCATGACCGTAACATGAAGCACCTAACTATTTGCACGTGAAATATTTTTTAGGGTTGAAATTGATGCATCCGAACACCCATACACACCACCCTTATTGGTCTATCATTTTGGTGAACATGGTATTGACATATGAACATGCTTTCCCATACTTTCATGTTTCCTTTGACATTTGTTTGTTTCTTTTAATTTTCGTGTCTATTTTCTTTTTGATTCGAGTATAACTTTTAATTTTGTGTCTCGTAAGTTCGTAAATTCGGAAGTATGTTGAATATAAAAATGATTTATTAGACACGAAATTAAAAGTTTAGAGACCGGTTAGTGTGAGATAGTGAGATACGATACCATATCAGTTGGAGAGAGGAACGAAATATTTCTTGTAAGAGTGTGAAAATTTCTCTTAAGTAGACGTTTTTAAGAACAATGAAGTAGGATGCTAGGCTCCCGGATTATGAGATCCCATATTGGTTGGAGAGGGAAATCTTTACGATTATGATCTAACTGTGATATGTTATAGGTCAAAACAGACAATATCTCTTAGTGTGTGAACTTGACAATACGTAACGGGTAAAAGCGGACAATATCTACTAACGCGTGGACTTGGTGATACGTAACGGATAATATCTGCTAACAGTGAACTTGGGCTGACTGTTACAATTAGAATCAAAATTGAAGGTTTGGGTTGGACTTGACCATACGAATGGGCCAAAGCGAACATTATATGATAATAGTGGACTTGGGGTGGGACTTGGCCATCGTAATGGAACAAAACGGACAATATCAGCTAGCAGTGGACTTGAGCTAGCTGTTATAGTTAGAATCAAAATTGAAAATTCGAGCGGGACTTGACCATTGTAATGGACCAAAACAGACAATATTTGCTACCGGAGGAGTTGGTTATTATAGTTAGAATCAAAATAGAAAGTTTGGGCACGACTTATAGTAATGGACTAAAACGGATAATGTCTGATAGCGGTGTACTTGGGTTGATTGTTACAGTTAGAATCAAAATTGAAAGTTTGGCTAACGTAATGGACCAAAACGAACAATATTTACTAACAACGGACTTAAACTCACCGTTACAGATAGAATCAAGATTATCGGAAGTAGATATTTTGAGCATTCGACGAAGAAATTGGTATAAAACAAAAATAATTTATAGCATTAAATGGGTGGGGAGAAGAGATTACATAGAGCAATCCAAAAGACAAGACATATTATCATAAATGAATGAATGAAATGAAAGATAGTTTGAGTTTCACAAAAATTGAACAAAAAAGTTGAAAACTTTAGGGTTTTTGTGCAACAAAATGATAAAGATCGCTCCTTTTTTACACTTTAAAAGCAAAAAGTATGTTTCTTTCTTCTACCACTTCCATGAACAAAGTTTTCAGAAGATTTTCGTGATGATCTTCCACTCTCCCCACCACATGATTTTCTTCGTTTCAACCCAAAAATATTTGATTTTTTGTAACTTCTATGGATCTTAGATCGGGAAGTTTATCGTTATTTATTGGTTTTTTTAGGGTTCTATAGCTCGTGATGAAACAGGAGAAAGAGTAGAAGTGTGAGATCCCATATCGGTTGGAGAGGATAACGGAACATTCTTTATAAGGGTGTGGAAGCTTGGAAGAGAAAGCATAAAGAGAACAATATCTGGCAGTGGTGGGCTTGAGCTTGAACTGTTATTATTGGTATCAGAGCTAGATAGCAGGCGAGGAGGCTAAACCCTGTTGGAAGTGGGCACCAGGCGGTGTGCCAACAAGGATACTGGGCCATGATATTACTAATGGTATTAGAGTCAGACAGCAGATGATGTGTTAGCGAGGAGATTGAGCTCTGAAGGAGGTGGACACGAGGCGGTGTGCTAACAAGGACGTTGGGCTTTGTAGGGAGGTGGATTTGAGGGTCCCACGTGGATTGGAGAAGGGAAAGAGTGCCATCGAAGACACTGGGTCTGAAGAGGGGTGGACACGAGGCAGTGTGCCAACAACTAGGACGATGGGTCTTGAAGGGAGGTGGATTTGGGGGTCCCACATCGATTGGAGAAGGTAACGAGTACCATCGAAGACACTGAGCCCGAAGGGGGTAGACACGAGGTGGTGTGCCAACAAATACACTGAGTCTCGAAGAAGTGTGGATTAGGGGGTCACACGTAAATTGGAGAAAAGTACGAGTGTTATAGGAAGCTGGGTCCGAAAGAAGTGAACACGAGGCAGTTTGCCAACGAAAACGCTCGCCCCAACTAGTTGAATTGCGAGAAGGAGAGGCTTTTTAGTGGGGTTAACTGGTTTCTGAAATCCTCTGCTTCGTTGGCTCTGAGTAGTTGGCAATTAAGCCTTGTCCTCTTGGTGAACTTTCCTAGGCTGTCTCTCTCTCTCTCTCTTCTTTCTCTCTCTTCTTCTCATCCAAACAAAACCCATTTCAAAATTTCTGTTTTTTCCTTCAGAGATTTTCCACAAATCCTCTCACCTCGACGAAGGTAAAGGAATGAATGGCGCTACAGCAACAGATTCTGAAGCAGACAACTCTGAATATGTCGAAGTTGATCCCACCGGCAGATATGGAAGAGTATGTTCGGAGAATCTCATGTTTTGTGTTACATAATAACGAGTTTTGATCTTTACTAAGAACCCTTTTTGTGTCTTGTTCCATTGCTTTCTTCAGTACAATGATGTTCTTGGCAAAGGAGCATCCAAGACAGTGTAAGAACAGAACAACAAAGAGCACCCTCCTCTGTTTCTTCCAACATGTCTGTTCTTCCTGTTCTAATGGGTTTTTCTGTCTAATAGTTACAGAGCTTTCGATGAATACGATGGCATTGAAGTGGCATGGAATCAAGTGAAGCTCTGTGATTTCCTTCAAACCCCTGAAGATCTCGAGAGGCTATACAGAGAAATCCATTTATTGAAGACGCTAAAACATAAGAACATAATGAAATTCTGTTCTTCCTGGGTCGACACTGCCAATAGAAACATTAACTTCGTTACAGAGATGTTCACTTCCGGGACTCTCAGACAGTGAGTTTCGTTTCCATGGTGTTTTTCCTCAAATGGGTTTGTCGAAAAACATGTTTTCCGACCAAATTTGTCTGTGCAGATACAGGCTGAAGCACAAGAGAGTGAATATCAGAGCTGTGAAGCATTGGTGCAGACAGATTTTAAGAGGGCTTCATTATCTTCATAGCCATGATCCTCCTGTAATCCACAGAGACCTTAAATGTGATAACATTTTTGTTAATGGGAATCAAGGCGAAGTCAAGATTGGTGATCTTGGACTTGCTGCTGTTCTTCGTAAATCCCATGCCGTTCGATGTGTTGGTAAGTCCTTGAATCATGTGTTAGGAACCCCGACTCTCCACAATAGTATGATATTATCCATTTTGAGCCGGCTCGAGTAGTTTTGCTTTTGGTTTCTCCAAAAGACCTCGTAATGTATTTCTTGCTTATCAACCCATGATGGGCTCCTCTCCCAACAATCCTCCCCTCGAACAAAGTACACCATCGAGCCTCCCTTGAGGCCTACGGAACTCTTAAACAACCTCTCGAGACTCGACTCCTTCTCTGGAGCCCTCAAACAAAGTATACTCTATGTTTAACATTTTAGTCACTTTTGACTATGCTTTCGAGGCTCACAACTTTTTTGTTCGAGGATTCTATTGACACGGTTAAGTTAAGGGTATCACTCTTATACCATGTTAGGAACCACGACTCTCCACAATTGTACGATATTGTCTACTTTGAGCCTAAGCTCTCATGGTTTTGCTTTTGGTTTCTCCAAAAGGCCTCGTACCAATGGAGATGTATTCTTTACTTATAAAATCATGATCAACCCCTTAATTAGCTAACGGGACTCGTCTCCCAACAATCTAACATCATAGAATCCTCATTTTCTGGGTTTGATTCTTCATCATTTCAGGAACACCAGAGTTTATGGCTCCAGAGATATATGAAGAGGAGTACAATGAATTGGTTGATATCTATTCTTTTGGAATGTGTATCCTTGAGATGGTTACTTTTGAATATCCATACAGTGAATGCACTCACCCTGCTCAGATTTACAAGAAAGTTATCTCTGTAAGATATCAATGTTCATGTTCATTTTCTTCAAGTTTTGTTCATTGTGGTGCTTGTTTCTTACATCTTCCTTTCAGGGGAAGAAGCCTGATGCTTTGTATAAGGTGAAGGATCTCGAGGTTCGGGTTTTCGTCGAGAAATGCTTGGCTACCGTGTCGACTAGGCTGTCTGCTAGAGAGCTTTTGAATGACCCTTTTCTTCAAATTGATGGTTGTGATTCTTTACTCACGCCAATAGATTACTATTCTGAATATGATGAAGTGAATAATGGTTTGGATTACTGTTTGATTGATAACGAAGTGAGCGAAATCGATCTTTTTTCGTGTCAAGACGATGAGCATTTGGCAGATGTTGATATCACTATTAAAGGGAGAAGAAGAGGCGACGACGATATATTTCTACGGCTTCGGATTGCGGATAAAGAAGGTAAAGAAGAACGAAGAACGAAAGTTTAAGATGATGGGTTACGGTAAATCTAATTTGGTATGTCGTTTTGCAGGTCGAATACGAAACATCTACTTCCCGTTCGATTTAGAGAATGATAGTGCTTTAAGTGTTGCAAATGAGATGGTTTCTGAGCTTGATATTACTGATCAAGATGTGAAGAAGATTGCTGATATGATAGATGATGAGATAGCTACATTGGTGCCAGAATGGAAGAGAGGAACAAGCTCTGATGCTAATGTTTGTCACAATTGTGCTTTAAACGGTTCGGCTTTGGATTACGTTTCACCGAACCATCCGACGACGAAGAACCTACACGTTCTTCAGTGTTCTGAGGATCATGGCTGTGCTTCTATCCATGGACGTTTTGAGGAGATTACATATCAAGTTGAGGGATCGGAACAATTCAATGGGTCATCGGAGAATCCGAGCGATATCCATTATGCCGATATTTGGGCGCAGCGAGATGGCAATGAATCACATGGAGGAGCATCAGAACAGCTGAAGCTCAAGAAGGAAGAAAGTAGTGTACATAAGAACAATAATGATCACCAAACAGAATTCCGAACGAGAAACTCGAGCTCATCGAATCGTTTGGTGTCGTTTGCCGATGATCCCGAGAACGAGATTCGACAAGAACTAAGATGGCTCAAGGCTAAATATCAAATGCAGTTGAGGGAGCTAAGGGATCAACAATTAGGAGTCAAGGTCAAATCTTTCAGCTTACAGCCGAATCCGAACCTTGCCGAGACCAACCGTGGAGCTTTCGTATCGTTGCTTTCACCAAATATCAATGAAGCAGCAAGACATAAGGCTGGTATCACTTCACATTCCCCCCATATTGCTGCTGACAGTGTGTTGGAAAACCGAACCTTTCAAGACGACAGCTTCGATGTCGACGAGTCGGGTAGTCCCGAGCTGATGATTACGGCCAAGAGCTTCTATGCAGGGACATTGTTACCTCATTCTCTACAAAGAGCAACCTCACTTCCTGTTGATGCTATAGACTTTTAGAACAAGGAATCCTAATGGGTATCATAAAAGATGGCCTATTTGTTTGAATGTGTAGATACCCTTTTGAGATTATGAGGTGTGTTGGCCTTATTTGGTTGTCGACTGGCAAGCAAAGATGCCCTTTGAAGACTCGTGTATTGAATATGGCATGAGCTTGATTGCGGCTGCAACGCCCAAGTTGGGCAACTTGGTTGGGTATTAAAGGCACGCCATAACTTTTAATGTGAGGCTGTGGTGGCTCTTTACCAACCCCC